CTCAATTACCCGGTTCGGGCGGAGTTCAATAGGGTGGTCTACGGTGGCGGAGAAATCGACTATCTCGCTGATCTCAGGCACCACATCGCGGTCGCGTGCCAGAATCTCTCGATGGCGCTCGTCCAGAAGGCTGTGGCGGAGTGTCATGATAGTATTTAATATGCTCTTTATATTTACATTTATATTTATATAGTGTATGTATTTGTATAATAAATATTATACCGAAACCTTGTGATCGCGTCGACTAACGGTTCAAAGCCGTGAATATCTTGCATTTATCGTCTTGTCTTTGAGGTTTTCGAAACTAAATAATGTCAGCCACTAGCCTACCGTTCCGCAGTGCCCGCAACGTCCACTTCGAGGGCGGAGGTGGACGCTACGGAGCGGCCAGGGCCAAGCCAGGGTCTGACAAGCAACAATAAGATTTACCAAGAATTCCTTTGCCCTACATTTCAAGAATCGGCATTGGTCACGTTCACTGAAGAGCTAAAGGAAGTGAGGCCCCTGGCACGCTCACGATCACCCCAGAAATTACGCATGTTATTAAGCATGCTGACATAACGCTGGAATTTTTGACTGCAACACTTTTGCTAGGCACGTTGTTCATAAGGGCTGTCAGTTCCAACCATTCAAAAGTTGCACTCATCGAGAAAGAAGAGATCGTTGCTTTACGATATCTAACAATGAGAGCAGCCTACAGTATATGACAATGCTACGTTGAAGACCGGTGCTCGTGCTATCCTTCGGATACAGAAATGCAACTGCGAAACTCTCAGTCAACGATAAGATGACTTTCATGAACAGCCGGCTTCCACTGTCTTCCACAGTCCTACGTCTTCAAAACGATCACGGAAGAGTTTGAGCCATAGCTAATGCCATCGTCAATATCATGATATGCACCCGATGGCAGTCTGACCTCAGAGGTGAACTCTCGTGTGAGTGCAGCATGGGCGAAATGGCGCTCGATGACTGGAGTTCTGTGTGACAAGACCATACCGGAGCACCTCAAATCGAAGATTATAGAACTGTGGTCAGACCAGTAGCGTTGTACGGGGCTGAGTGCTGGCCTGCAACCAAGGAAGTCGAAGCCCGCCTTAGTGTGATGGAGATGAAAATGCTATGTTGGGCGGCACAAGAGCCTTCAAGTATCTTGGATCAGAAATTGTGTCCGATGGCAGTCTGACCTCAGAGGTGAACTCTCGTGTGAGTGCAGCATGGGCGAAATGGCGCTCGATGACTGGAGTTCTGTGTGACAAGACCATACCAGAGCACCTCAAATCGAAGATTTATAGAACTGTGGTCAGACCAGTAGCGTTGTACGGGGCTGAGTGCTGGCCTGCAACCAAGGAAGTCGAAGCCCGCCTTAGTGTGATGGAGATGAAAATGCTACGTTGGACGGCCGGTGTCACCCGTATGGATCGGATTTGCAACGATCATATGCGCAAGAAATTTGGCGTAGCTTCTATAG